TACAGGTGAAACTCGAATAATTAGAATATCGTGCAAAAGTAATTGCAGTAAGTGCTGCAAAAGGGGCCCAAACCAAGTACTGAGTACATATGCATGCTTGTACTTTTCAGAGGTCCGATATTGTTCTATGTACAATCCTTGTTTTATTGATTGCATGTAATAATCTAATTTTTTGAGGTTGTGGATTTGGGGTTCTTGGGGTTTTCATGAGCTGTAAGCCATAATCATCACAATTATGACAAATCATGGCTTGAATTATCTTGCTTTGCATGTAATGAGTCTATCTCATATATTAGTTTCACCTTTTAAGTTGCATTAGTGAAATAAATGAACTTTGCACGATATTCTAATTATTCGAGTTTCACCTGTATCTTAAAAATATATTTTTTTAAACATTTCTTACTTTTTAGATGTTTTGCTGCAGCAGGTAAAATATTTTAAACCCGGTTTTTCTAAGCACCCGCACAGTGATCCGTCCTTATAAAAAAGACTAGACTGCCATGTGTGGATTGTGTTTCTTTAATTGCATTAACGTACAATGCAGAAACCAGGCTTTTATAACCTTTAACCCTTTGTTAGGACAGGCAGTTTTCAAATCTACTGTGCAAATTATAACGAAATGAGTCAGCACCGTACAGACAGTGATAACAAACCCCTCTCAACCTCTCATAAGGTGAAGCTAGTTGTAATTTCAACTCTTAAGAAGCAAAGAAATCCTAACCCAAGTAAAATCAAAAAGCATTTAAACTTTTTTTAGCTTATGCTATTTAAATGGGAACCTGTAAAAAATATAGCATAGGTGTTATCCCAATTTGGCTGTGAAAGTGGAAATATACTTAACAATTACTGTTACCTTCCTCTGCCCTAACTATGGGGTTAGGTTTTTCTTTTGTTTGTTAAACCAGATGGATGATGCACATGTGAGTGACAATTTCATTCTATTTTATGGTTGTATTCATTAGCATGTTTTAATATATCCAAAGTCAGTAAAAAATATTAGGCATATTAAGTTGTTATGGCAAGGACCTTACAAAGGAAAAGGAGACATAATTTGCATATCAAAATCAGTTTAGCAAGGGACTTCATTACAGAAACAATGGTTAATCTGGTAGTAATAGCAAAGACATGACTAGAATTATATAAAAAAGGACTGAATGGTTTTCTGAGCACTTCCAGTATCCAACTTTGTAATTTATAAAGGCCAATAATAAAGGCCAAACACTAATTTAATATAAGAATTTGATCTGGCTGCATTTCTAGATGAAGGGGAGCTAAGAGATTATTTTCTTTTTTTGTAACTACCATGTAGCAAAAATTGTCCACAGCTACTCAGTTACCACAGCAAGTTCTATGTGAGATAGACACACATATTGGCTGCAGAAACTTCATGTCAAACCTTTAATATCATATGAAGATTTACTGAATGTTAGAGCTAGAGCACTTTCAGCAGTTTTTAATGACATAGAACGTTCTTGTATAAACATACAGCAAGTAAACTGCCCTCATGTCTTACAGTTCATACAGTGAACAACTGGAAATGATGTAATTGCCACAAGAACTACATAAATACATTATATCAGAGGCAGCAGCGGTTCTGGTCCCTTGAGAGGTGTTCCAGATCTAACTGCAACCAAAGGATCCGAGAGGTGTGTCAGTTGGTGTTCTGGAGTATTTTGTTATGCTCAACAGACACACCATTGCCAACTATCATACATACATCTATATTTCCAGATTTCACAACCTGGCAACAAACGTATTGAACAGAATGAATTAACAATTTGTTAGACACCAATGATTATATGAATATTATGAATATCTCTCTTAGCAGGTGAAATGTGTTCCCTCTGCTTTCTGGACCTTGTAATATTGGCTGCCCACCACAGACATGAGATTTAAATTTGACTGCTTCTGTTACTGGCTTGCACATTTTAGGGAAAATGAGGGTAATGTTGTTGAGTACAACTCCCCAATTATCTCAACCCATTGCACTTGGTGATGAAGCTCTGTACGCACTGTTGTTGTGCCAATCTGAAGGCCACACAAAGTTTGGAGGTCTGTAGCTATTGACTCTGCAGACAGTTGGAGACTTCTGCGCACTGTGCGCTTCAGCATGCGCTGACCCCATTCTGTCATTTTACGTGGCCTACCACTTTCACTTTGTTATATTACCACTAACAGTTGACCGTGGAATATTTAGTCGCAAGGACATTTCACGGATGAACTTATTGCACAGGTGGCAACCTATCACGGTACCACGCTTGAATTCACTGAGCTCATGAGAGCGACCCATTCTTTGACAAATGTTTGTAGAAGCGTCTGCATGCCTAGGTGCTTGATTTTATACACCCGTGGCCATGGAGGTGATTGGAATACCTGAATCCAATGATTTGGAGGGGTGTCCCAATACTTTTGCCAATATAGTGTAAAGCTGGCCATACACCTTACAACCATCGCACGACTTTCATTGTGCAATGGTTGTAAGGTCATTAAAATTTCGTACGACCTGCCCATCTTGGACAGGCAGATTGTACTTGCGATCATCGCAAGCCCTCCCCGCTGAGGGGAAGGCTTGCCGATGATTGCAATGCTGAGCGGGCAGTGTGCGCTTGCGCACACCGGTCCGTGTGGCTTTCGTCTTCTGAGCACGCTACTAACCTGCCGAAAAGCATACGATTTTCGGCGGGTTTTCCAGCGTGCTAGGAAGACGAAAGCCGAACGACCTTACAGTAGATGCGGTCGCTTGCTGCCCATACACCTGCCGATTATTGTACAATAATCGGCAGTTGTATGGGCACCTTCAGAAGACACCATGGGCCAACAATTGGACAGCATTGGCCTATATCCAGTAAGTGCATTAATTGGATTACAGTGTATTCTATTACAACCATTTGTGAATATTATATCATGCAAATAATGTTAATAGGAAAGCACCTGAAATGTTCTATCTCCAGCACTAAAATAATTGATGCACTTTAGAAAACACCACATAAACTTACCATTTTCATTACAAGGCCATTTTGAACCATTTTGTTGAAGATTTCTATTTTCTGCTTTAACTCCTGTATGTCAAGCTTTTTCTCTTCGGCTGGTTCATGTTGGACCTGAAATAAATTGCAATTAAAATAAAAAGCGATTGTTATGATGACACTAGAACATGTTTGGACATTTGGAATAATATTTCGTTAGAGAAAGACCAAATATTGTTACATTCTGGAAGCTGCATACACACTGTGTGGCATTTCTGTTTACCTCCATAAGGGAGGGGGCAGATATGCTCTAACAGCAAATCAACCTGAAACATTTATTTCTTTCCTACTCTAGCCAAAACTAAAACGGAAAAAATAAAGCCTGCAGTGAGTTATAAATAAATGAAAAATAATAAATGTATACATATTCATAAAGGAAAACATGCATTTATTTATTTCATTTTTTTTTTGCATTGGAGCCAGTGAAGCATTGCTGCTATAGACTCTTCCTCCCGTCCATGTCTGTACCCCAGTATGGAAAGGAATGGTGATTTTCCTTTCCACACTGTATCTGCACGGTGCCATCCGTGACTATCACTGCGAGCACCATCTTCTGTATAGGCCCGGACTGCTGCAAGGTGTGCGGAGGACTCCGCTACCTATCCACTTCTGTACCCCGGTATGGACATTTACTAACATGTACAGGAGGAACAATGAATGGACTACAAGTGCAGAGACATCACTAGTACCATTGAGAACTACAAGTCCCTTTGCTGTGGTGGGATTTGTGGTTCCTCTATTCACTGACCCTGTCAAAGAAAGTGCAGCCATGCACAGGAGCGCCATTTTAAGGATCCAGGAGACACATGTTTGGATGCAGCCATGGTCAGCAGCCTTTATAACTCAGTGACAGCTGACAGATGCCATGGCTGTACATGAACAGAGTCCGAGCAGTTACATGTCTACAGGGATTGATAGGATGCCCTGCGTGCAGGTTTGCATCCTGGACTGCTCAATAATCCCTGTATGCGTGTGACCGCTCTGACTTGCATAAAGCCATGGCATCTTTTGGCCTGTCATTGATCTGTACAGGCTGCTGAACACAAACACCTATGAATCCCAGGCATGGAAATACACCCCTTCATAGCAGTATATGGCCCTCTGCAGCCATGTTAATGAGCCTGAACAATAGTTCCCACAACATAAAGTAAAGCAAACTGCCAATAGTTAAAAGCAGAAATAATCTGATATGTCAGAAATATTAATCAATCAAATCAAATAAGTAGAAAGCAGCAAAGACACATCCATAGATGTATAACATTGAATTGTATTCACAGCCAAAGGCTAGAGAAGGGTTAAAACTCCTGTCAGTGTATTTTTTTTGCTATCTGTGTCCCATTGGGGAAGTTTCTGATCACTCCCTGTCCCAAAGGTGCAACAGGAAGTTAGAGGAAATCCCAAAGTGAGGGTATTTCCCCTCCAAAAGGTGCCCATACACCTTACAAATACCGTACGATTTTCGTTTGCGATCGTCTTTTCGTCCGATATTCGTAAGGTTGATGGGGAAGTCTACAACTATCGTATGACGTTTGTCTTTCCAGCAGGCTAGAAAATGTTGGTCGTTCGTACGATTTTCGCAAGGTTGGTGGCGTTTCCGTACGTCAAAATTCATATGATTGATGCTGCTCGTGCGCAAATGAAAATCCGTGCAGTCAATTAACGACACTCGTCCAGATGATTTCTGCTAAAGACCGTTATTTGAATTGTGAGATGGTCGGGGCAGAATGGGGCCCCCATACGAAAATCGTACGATGGTTCAAGCATCGGACGAAAATTTTCCTCCCATTATTGCAAGGTGTATGGGCACCTTTAGAGTTATCTCCAGAATATGTCCAGCAGATTTACCCTCAAATGTTGGATTTCCTCCCACTTTCTAGATGGAAACGTTCACCAGTACAAGGTGTAAATCTCCCCAGTGGGGACACAGATAGCAAAAAAATGTGATAGAGGGTCTAAACCTTCCACACTTTATCCAAACTAAAGAGAACAATATTTAAAATATATCTTAAGCAAAAAAAGTTTTATTTTGGTTTTGGATAAAGTGTTAAAACCCGTAAGGATTTTTTTTGCCATCTGTGTCCCATTGAGGAGATTTCCCTGAACTTCCTGTCCTGTGGACGCAGGATTCAAAAGGAGCACCTCTCCAGAGTGAGGGAAATCCCTTCTTAGACAGTTATTACCTAAACAAGGGGCTGATTTTTAACACGTTCGCAGCACACTGCTGTCACTAGATGGAGGGAAGGAGCAGGGCCCTCCCTATAATGAGGCCTCAGGCGGCATCTCTTTTGGTCACGGGG